CCACATAAACCACCATGAAACTCCTCTGCTCCCCCTCGCCAAGCATGAACAAGGAGTGATCGGCCGTTGAGGGAGTGAAGCCGATCCCCTCCAACACTTCGCGCAGCTTCATGTACCATTGCCTAGGGGCCTGCTTCAGCCCATAGAGGGCCTTCTTCAGCTTCCACACTCTGCCACTACCATCATCAAACCCCTCTGGCTGCGCCATAAAAATCTCCTCCTCAAGGATGCCGTTAAGGAATGCCGTTACGATGTCCATTTGCTTTACTACCCATCCTTTGATGGCGGCTCCCGCGAATAGGGTTCGCAGCGTCGTCGGCTTCACCACAGGGGCAAACAGCTCCTTGAAGTCCACCTTCTCCTTCTGCTGGTACCCCTTGGCTACAAGCCTAGACTTGTAGCGCTCGATCTTGCCGTCGGCATCCGACTTGATTTTGAAGAGCCACTTGGACGTTATCGCCGTACGCCCCTCCGGTAGCTCCACCAATTCAAACGTGTCATTCTCCTCGATGCTCTTCAGCTCACTCTCCATGGCCTTCTTCCACTCCTCAGCATCACTACTCTCCAAAGCCTCCTTGAGAGTTGCTGGTTCTCCCGGCATCTCCACCGGAGAGAAGAACGCGAAGGCACACTCCTCGTAGTCACTCTCCTCGTCGTCTCCGACCATCATTGCCGCTCCGGCCAGGGCTGTCTTGCCCTGCTTTCCCGGCGCATCATAGGTCAGCCTATTAGGGGGTTGAACTCTCCTCTTCCCCCTTCCTTCCTCCTCAGCTGCAGGGACTTGAAGGCCTTAGCGTTGCTGCGGTGTGGCTCGAATCCGTGGAGCACTCGTAGTACGGGAAGGGAGTGACGGTGCACGCTCGCTCACTTGCTGCACCTCCTCCTCTTCTTCCTCTGCATCATTGGCCTCCTCTCCCCCATTCACAAGGGAGGATTGCCTTGTGGTTGTGCTGCCGCTGCTCAGCTCCAAAGGCAGCTCCACATGCTCCAAACCGGAACTCTTCACCTCCCCAAACCGCACGCCTATCTTCGCCTCATTCTCCGCCTTCCAATCCTTGTACATGAAGTTCTCCATGAACTTGCAGTCCCTGCTCACCAAGAACTTCTTGGTGAATGGGTCCCAAAGAAGCCATCCCTTGCTGTTTTGAGCCATGCCCAAGTGCACGGCCCACACCGCCTTGGCACCGAGCTTGTTGTGCCGAAGATGCTTAGGCACGAGCGCCATGCACATGCACCCGAACACCCGAAGCATATCCACCTTTGGCTTCCTTCCTAGCCACTCCACATAGGGCACCCATTTGTCTGCTCCCACATGAGTCAAGGCTCTGTTCTTGGCCACACACGCGCTCCGCACCGCATCAGGCCAGAAATAGTCGGGTAGCCCGGCTTCAATGAGCAACCCGCGTGCCGCCTCCGTGATTGTGCGGTTCGCTCGCTCGGCGATGCCGTTCATTGCAGGGGAGTATGGCATGGTGAGGGAGTGCCGAATACCATTCTTCTTCAGCCACAACCCAAACTCCTTGCTCAGGAACTCTCCCCCTCGATCGGTGCGGATTGACTTGACTAGACGGTCTTGTTGCCGCTCCACCATCGGGAACCAATCCGTCTTCAACGTTTCAGCCACGTCGCTCTTCTTGGCCAGCACGTACACCCAAGTCATGCGGGTGTAGACGTCGACAATGGTGAGAAAATACTCAGCTCCAGCAGCTCCAAGCTTCAGGGGGCCCACCACGTCCATCACCACCTCATCAAGCGGTGCCTTTGCCGTTGCCTCCGAACTAGGGAACGGAAACCGGGTGAACTTGGCTTGAATGCACGTCGGGCAGCCAAGCACCTCATCGGGCTCCCCCTTCACACGTATGCCAGCAACTATCTCATTCTTCACTAGCTGCTGCAAGATGGGCAGGGCCACATGCCCCATGCGCCGATGCAAGGTGAGCCAATCACACTCCCCCGTAGCCGAAGTTGGATTGGAGAATGCCGCGCTCGCAATAGCGCCCCACATACTCTCTCCGTACTCCTCCTCCGCTGCTGCCTTGGGGTTCTCCTCACCCTTTTGCTGCTCCTTGGTTGCTGCACCACTCTCCTTAGGTTCACTGAACTTGCTGGTCCCTCCAGGTTTGCTCTTCTTGAGCTCATTCTCCTTAGCGCGACCGTTCGCGCCATCGTCGCTACCGACCGCTCCATCCTTGGTGCCGATGCTTGCTGCCACTTGCCTCTCCTTAGGCATAGGGACCACTGGGATCTGCCACATCTCGTTGTAGACATCCCTGTCCTCATGAAGGTCCCAAAGAATTCGATCGCCAAGCCTTGCGGTGTAGGTCTTGGCTCCCTTCGAGTTCGTGTCCATGCCGGCCTTTGCCAACCGCCGCACGGAAATCAGGTTTGCAGCAAGGCTGGGCACCCAAAGCACGTTCTTGAGGCCCACCATCTTCCCATCAGCACCCTTGAACATGGCCTTGCCCATGCCTTTCACCTCTGCTCGTTGCCCCAAAGCCGATGTGACATGCTTCACCGGTGACGGCTCGAGTTCGGTGAGCAAGTCCGGGCGAGGTGTCATGCTATAGGTAGCGCCACTATCAATCACCCAATAGTCCAGGGGGTGTAGGGTCACCTTCCCCACAGCTGCTGGCTCCTCAAAGCCTTCATCCTTCTCTGGACCAGCCGGTACTTGCGTCGACACGAAGTAGAATAGACCCGGGTATCGATCGTCGCTCGGGTCCTTGTCGTTGTCTCCGCTCTTCATGTTTGCAGCTCCGCCACCGCGACCGCCACGGCCTCCACGGCCTCGTCCTCTCCCTCCTCCTGCTCCTCTACCCTCTTGGCCTTGAGCAGGGGTCCAACCATCAGGGAGTTTGTAGCAGTCGCGCCACATGTGTCCGCTCTTGTGGCAATAGTGACACTCGCCGTCGAATCGGCCGCGACCGCGTCCGTAGCTCTTGTCGTCGCTGCCGTAACCGCCACTCCTGCGGCCTCCGCCGAAGTTGCTGCCACCAAACCTTCCTCCCCCTCGTCCTCTGCCTCTTCCTCGACCATATCCACGGCCGATGCTCGCTGCCCCAGCGCCATCCGCACTCGCCAACTCACGGCGGCGGAAATCCTCTTGAAGGATAGCTCGCTTCACGTCTTCAAGCGAGAGGCGGGGCAAGTCGCGATTAAGGTTGATGATGAGCGAGGACCATGACTCTGGGAGTAAGGCCAGCAACTTGGTCTTCTTTTGGAGCTCACTGTAGTTCAAATCAGCTCCCTCAAGCCGCGTCAACAAGTCGAAGAATTTCTGCACCCCTTCTTCAACCGCTTCGTTTTCTTCAATTCGTAGTGCCGCCATTTGCCGTTCCAACACCACCGCTACCGCCGCTGTTGCAGGAGCATGTACACCCTTGAGAGCAGCCCATGCCTTTGGTCCTTTCTCTGGTTCACGCTGGAATGGCTTGATGTGACGGATCTGACTGCTCCCCAACGCTTGCCCAAGTAAGAGATAGCCTTGTGCGCTCTTCCGCACCCACGGGCTCTTCTCCGGGTCGTTCTCGGGGCGCTTCTCCGTTCCTTCCATCACCTCCAGCAGGTCATAGTGGTCAAAGATGTTCTCCATCTTGAAGGACCATTCAGCAAAGTTGTCACCGTTGAACTTGTCAAGCCCAAACACCCTAGGCTCATCCCTAGGTGGGCCAAGACTTGGTTGCATGGGCGCCATGGCTGAATCACGGGGTTGGCCTTGAGCTTGAGCTTCTCCACTGCCACCAGCACCTCTGCCACCCCTTTCCTCAGGTCCAGACATTGTCGAAACTGCTCCAAGGGGCTCTGATACCACTTGTTATAGTCACAATAGGCTTGAATGTGCCTAAAACGAAAGATAGAGAGCACAGGCGGATTTCTGCACAGCAGCTTCAAACGTTGATAGCGTTCTGCTCACAGCTGCAAATGACTTGATTCAAATTGGATCTGGAGCATCTTCACGTCGTCTACAATTAGCAATTTAGATTGCACGATTTGATAAAGAATTGACGACACAGCGTCGGTTTGAACGAACGGCACTATGGCAGCCACTATAGTCTTAGAACACAAGATAGGAAGAGTTACGAGTTGGGAATGACTCCCAGCTCCTACAAACCCCAAGAGCCGAGGTACAGTGATGTGGAACAGTGCCACACTGTCCCCAACCACGAAGGGTCTCGAAACTACCCTTCACTAGGGCCTACACCAAGTGAAATGTTACACTACACAAAGTAATGTAACTATCTTCAATACCTTGAGGTGTACCCTTTTGGCAAGCTTCGAAATCACTTGAGGCTTGACACCAAGGCTCGGGCTCTTCATCACAAACTCATCCTTGAGTTCTTGATGGGTCTGCTGCACACACCTGCGACACGCCGAACGTTCGACACAGGACAAAATAGAAACCGCGCACGACAAAATAGAAACCGCGCGCGAGACACAAACGACCGCGTAACACGCGTCTAGCGATAACTCGCTATTGACTCGACACACACACTCGACATCATGACTCAACATTCACACACAATTATAAGCATGAAATATATATTATCCCATGCCCTCATACCATTCCATACACACATACATTCACGCACACGGACAACAAGCCGAGTGCAAACCGTAGGGTTGCACCAACAGGCGCTGTGGGGCAAAGGGCTGCCGCCGGGGCTCCTCGTGCATGTCTCTTTGCTCTACTCCTTCCCGCCTGCGCTCCACTAGCAGCTCTCCACCTGCCGAATCTCTTGTGCGAAGCACCACTCCTCACGATCCTGCCCGTACCTCCCATGCTCGCCATGCTCGTCGTGCACCCTGTGGCTGCTCGCGCTGTGTATGCACGCTTGCCCACACACGTGCGAATGACTTGGTTGCAATGCATGCATACGTGCATGCGTGCGTGTGTCGGTGTGCGTCTGTGTTTGTGTGTGCGCGCGCGCGCGTGCGTGTGTGTGTGTGCGTGTGCGTGCGCGCAGGTAGCGCGGGAGGCATGGGGCAGCGGGTGGCGTGTGATGATGGCGCAGCTCGCACCCAGTGACGACGCCGGCAACTACAAGCGCACCCCCAGCGCATACCGCCACACCATTCAACCCCCTCCCACCACTTCCACAGCCAGCAGCAGCACAGGTAGCAGGCAGGCAGGCGCATTCCCATCAGAGGCAGGGCGGTACCATGTGTACGCGGCGCTGTCGTGCCCGTGGGCGCACCGCACGCTCATCGTGCACGCGCTCAAGGGCCTGCACGCCGCTGTCCCCCTCTCCATCGCCCGCCCCGGTGACGGTGGCCTCCGGGAGTTCGTGCCAGCGGGCGCGGGGCTAGGGGAGAGTGCGGTGGCGCGGCGAGGGAGTGGGAAAAGGGGTGAGCGGGGAGTGGGAGGGGAGGGAGAGGAGGGAGAGGAGGGGGAGATGCTTGTGCCCACGGAGGACCGCGCGGGGGGGTGTGCAAAGCTGAAGGAGGTGTATGGGAAGCAGGAGGGCGGGTACGATGGGCGCTGCACCGTGCCCATGCTGTGGGACAACAAGACCAAGTGAGCCAGTCCACATGCGTGGGTGGGGAAGGGGCAGAGGGGGGAAGGGTAAGGGGGGGTATTCGGGGAAGGTTGGCTGGTTTGGATCGGGTTGGGAATGGGCGGGATGGAAGCTTTCTCGTCACTTCTACCCCGCGCCTCCATTCTTTTCTCCACGATTCTTTGTCTACCTCATTCCTATCTCTACAAACGCACCCCATATGCCACATTCCTCCCTCCCTGCCTCTATTCCCCTCCTGCCTCACCTCCTGGCTCTCTTTTCTCACCTCCTGGCTCTCTTTTCTCACCTCCTGCCTCTCCTCTCCTGTACAACCCCCCCCCCCCCCCCCCCCCCCCCATGCGTGCAGCCGGGTGGTGAACAACGAGAGTGCGGACATCATTCGCATGCTCAACGCATCCTTCAATGACTATGCCGCCAACCCACACCTCGACCTCGCACCACCGGAGCTCGCCCAGCAGATGGCAGCATGGGACGAGGAGATCTACAACAACGTCAACAACGGCGTCTACCGGTGCGCTGCCACTGCACTTCTGGCCAAAATTTTCATCCCAGCAGACATGGCTGCTCTTCTGCATGCTATTCTGAAAAAATACATTGCACCATTCTATAATGTCCCAATCCCCGTTCTTCCTCGTCACCTCACCTCACTTGTAACACGACCTCCCCCTCCCCGCTTCTCCACCCAATTCTTTTTCCTCTTCTCCCCGTCCCCCGTTCCCCATCCTCCTTCTCAGGTGTGGTTTTGCCACGAGTCAGGCGGCATACAACAGGGCAGTGAACGACCTGTTCACCACTCTGGACCGCATTGACGCGCACCTGGCCACGTCTCGCTTCCTCTGCGGGCCCGCCCTCACACTCTCCGATGTGCGCCTCTTCACCACGCTCGTGCGCTTCGATGCCGCCTACCACACACTCTTCAAGTGCTCGCGCAGGAAGATCGTGGAGTATGACAACATTCATGCCTACATGTGCGACATCTTCCAGGTAATTACCCAATGTATCTCCTCCCCCACCCCCACCTCCTTTCCTCCCCCTCCTTCCCCACACCCCTCCATTTTCCCCCCTCTCGTTCTTTCCCCCCACTTTCTCCCTCCCCCCCCTTGTTGTTTTCCTAGTGTGTTCTTTCCCCCCATTCCCCCCCTTCCTATCCTGCTCAATCCCCTCCCTTTCTGCTTATCAATCCGGTCACCACAATTCTCTGTCTGCGCTTTCTTCTAGGGTTTTTTTTTTTTTTTTTTTTTTTTTTTTTTTTACCTGGTTCATACCATAAGTGACTAGTGTATCAATGTCCCTTTGCTGCACACCAGATGCCTGGAGTTGCAGCCACGTGTGACATTGAAGGGGTGCGAGACAACTACTTTGGTCAACTCTTCCCCTTGAACCCTGGGGGCATCATCCCTGTGGAACCTCTCAGCTGTGACCGCTCCCAGCTTTGGAAACCACATAATCGGCAAGACCTTTTGCATGAGTAGATCCAAGAATGGGTACCTGTAATTCTGTTAGACGTGTTATTTCTTTCCTGAATACAAAGAGGTTCCGTTCCACTGAATACTGAAAGGTGCTGAAACGCGGTTTGCTGATAAGGCGCACCTGAAAGGTGCTGAAGCGCGCGCAGATTATTATCGCGCAATATAAGTCTGAAATTTAGGTCTTGTAGCGAAAATTCTCAAATTTTGCGAAGTATGATACCAGGTACGGTAGGCCTGATACCGTACCGTAAGAGGCCGACAGGAACACGCCCTAAGATAAACATCACATTTCAAGGCAATATTGGATAAAACCCATGTCTTATATCCGGGAGGTACCTAAGTAGACAACTTGGAGCACTTCGTGTGAACAATGGCTGGACCAACCTCGTCATAGTCGCTCTTCGTAATACACATCTGCATCACTGTTACGAGTGCAATTGAGTGAACGAACGAGAATTGCACTATCGAAGCAAGAGTACAATGAGCGAAGGCATGAGCGAAGAATATATAGCGAAACTACAGTGGTAACGGTAATGGACTGTGGTTGTCGCGCGACGGGCCTGGGACTGAGGTTGGGAAAAAGTGTCGAAGCGGAGGCCCGGAGCGCGGGTTACCCGCCGAGCCGTGAGGTCGGGGTGCGATGTGCGAAGGTGGCGGGCAGATTGTCGATGCGAGGGTTGCGAGTGGTAACGGTGCTGACTGTGGTGCTACAGTGATGTACGCGTTGAGCAGGGATGCGAAGGAAAAGGAATTTTCCTTACACTACCCCCCCCCCTAAGGAGGTCCTCCTTACGAGAGTGCGTGTACATCCCTGAAATTTTGGCTGCGCAGATACTCGGTGAAGACGGGGTGGTTTTCGATTCTGTCCAGGGGAACCCAATTGTCTTCGGTGGGTGTACGGTCCTTCCAGCGGAGTAAGAACTCGATCCTTCGGGCTCCTCGAGGGTCGCGAACTCTGTGACTCAGGATTTTTTCGGGGGTGATGATTGGTTCAGTTTGTGGTCTTGTCATGCTGGTTGGGCGATTGCGTGGCAGTTGGCTCGTGGACGGGACGTAAGGGCGAAGTAGGCTGACGTGGAATGAGGGGCTGACGTACCAGTCAGCAGGGAGGAGGAGGTGGGCGGTGACGGGTGTAAGCATGTGGCTTATGCGAAATGGCCCGCAGTATCGGGGGCGGAGTTTCGGAGTGATGGGCAGTCGGAGGTTCTGAGTGTCAAGTAAAACTAAGTCGTCGGGCTGGTAAGTGACAGGTCTGCGGTGGCGGTCGGCGTTGCGTTTAGCGATGATGTTCGATTTTTTTATTGCGTCTACTGCCCGGGTCCGTGCTGCTTGTAATATTTCGGCGAACTGTTGTGCTCGTGGTACTGGGTTGTCGGGATTCGGGGTCATGGGTACTGTTGGGTCTTGTCCGTAGTTTAGGTAAAACGGTGACTGTTGGGTCGTGGCGGATGGCGAGTTGTTGTACACGAATTCGATTAGTGGCAGTTGCTGTTCCCACGTGGTCGGGTCGTCACACGTGGCCCTGATGAGCTGTTCCATGGTCAGATTTGTCCGTTCTGTCTGTCCGTCGGTTTCGGGGTGGTATGATGAACTGAACTGCAGTCGCGTGCCGAACTGCTGCCACAGGTTCCGCCAGAAGTTGCTGGTGAATTTTGTGTCGCGGTCGCTGATGATCGCGGCGGGTATCCCTGTGAGAATAACGAGGAAGTGGTTGACTAAGGGAAAGGTTGGGTACAAGTACAAACCTAGAAATGTGTTGTACCCCATGTGTACTACCCCACTATAGCCTACGCAGGCTAAGTCAGACAAGTCTAACACACCCCCATAGGCAAAGTGGGGGAGAACAAGGGGTCACAAGACCAGTCAAGCAAAGCAAAGCAAGCTCAGGGTGGATCACAACGTCACCACACATTCCGAGCACAAGTTCAAGGCCACAAGGCCAGTTCACATGCAAGATCATATATAAAGGTAAACAAGCAAGTGCAGGTATAGATAGATCACAGTACAAGCAAGGTCAAGAAGTAAGCAAGTGAGGCCAAGTAGGCACAAGACCTAGCATCGTACAACAGCGCTGATGATCACAAGGCGGAAGTGCCTTGGTAAAGATATCAGCAGTGTTGGCCTGAGAGGCCACGTAAGCAAGGCGCAGCTGACCACGCTGCTGCAGCTCACGAGCAAGAAAGTAGCGAAGAGCAATGTGCTTCGTTCTGTGCTCCAGTCTGTGCTCCCGACACAAGGCCAGCATGGCCTTGTTGTCTACGTACAGAACCAGAGGAGAACGAGGCGGCTCTCCTAGGTCAGTCAGCAGGTAGGTGAGCCAGTGTAGCTCCTGTGCAGCCATGGCCCCCGCGTAGATCTCAGCCTCACAGCTGGAGCCGAGAACAGAAGACGAGCGGGTAGACCGCCACGAAACAGAGCCGGAACCAAGGCTGAAGGTGTAACCCTGTGACGACCGCTGCGTAGCCTGGTCGTCAGCCCAAGAAGCGTCTGCGTGACCTGTGAGGACCACTGAACGCCGCCCTCCAAGCACTAGCCCCATGCCCGACGTACTGCACAAGTAGCGCAACACCCTCTTCGCTGCAGCCATGTGCTCTGGTCGGTGTCTCCCAGGAGCAACATAGCGTGCCAAGATGCTAAGAGGGTATGCAAGGTCAGGTCGAGTGCAGGTCATCAGGTACATGAGGCAGCCAACAAGCTCTGGGTACGGGCCACTCGGCTCTACGGACTCATCCGAAGGCAGAGCTGAGAGCGAGTGGCGAGTAGACAGAGGAGTGGCCTGAGGCGAGGAGTACGTGAAGTCGAAGCGCTGAAGGACCTGCTGCACCATGTGTGACTGAGTCAGGGTAATGGTGCGCTGTGCTCCGTCCCGGGTGATCTGCAAGCCAAGGTAGCTGCGCAGTTCACCCAGGTCTGTGCACGTGTGTCTCTTCTGCAGCTCGGACTTCACGTGGGCGAGTCCAGCAGTGTCAGCAGTGGCAAAGACCAAGTCGTCGACGTACACAAGGATGTAGAACGGCGGCAAAGAGGTGCCGGTGTGCAGAAACGGCGACGGGTCGGCAGTAGAAGGAGCAAACCCAAGAGCCGCAAGTGTAGTCCTCAGTGTGTCGTGCCACTCACGGGGCGCCTGGCGGAGACCGTAGACTGGCCGCCGGAGGCTCCACTGGGTACCAGGAGGAAACGACCCAGTGAAGCCAGGTGGGCGGCGCAGCCAGATTTCCTCGTGCAGGCTGCCCTGCAAGAAAGCTGTGCTGAAGTCAAGAGAGTGAAGCTCGTAGTCGCGCTGAGCGGCTATGTGCAGCAGCACCCGAAGAGTGGTCATCTTCGGGGTGGGGGAGAAGGTCTGAAAGTAGTCAACTCCCTGCTGCTGACTGAAGCCTCGAGCCACGTAACGCGCCTTGAAGACAGGCGGAGAACCCGGCGGCCGCTTCACCCTGAAAATCCACATGCCACTGACGATGTTCGCCCCAGGTGGGGGAACCTCGTCGACGTAGGTGCCTGTGGACTTCCAGGAAGCCATCTCTGCATCCATGGCTGACTGCCACTGTGAGGAGTAGGGACCCTCAATCGCCTCAGCGTACGATCGAGGAGTCGGGATGTCTGGTGCATCCGGGTCTCCCTCAGGGGCAATCAGCATGGACACGAGATGAGGCAAAGCAGCAGCAAAACACTGGAACTCCTCCTGCCTGTCCTCAAGGACGTCCATGCTAAGAGCACACTCACCCCCGACGGACGGAGGACAGACAGACGCAGACTCAGCAACAAGACTAGAGACGTAGTCTAGACGACAGTGAGCAGCGAAGTCGACAAGCTCAGCAACTAAGGCAGACGCAGCAGTGGACTCAAAGGAATGGTCAGTGACGACAGTAGCAAGGAGACGCGTGACAGTAGGACTGGCAGCACGAAGGGAGTCCGACTCCGGGTCAGCAAGAGCAGGAAGAGAGGACTCGGGAGGAGAAGGCAAAGGGGCACGCAGCGGAGAAGTGGAAGGACGCAGAGACATCCGGTGCGTGCCGAGGACAGGTGGAGGACGCTGACGCGAACCACGACCACTCGTGCGAGCAGCATGGACAGGCGACGCAGGACGAGACGCGGGCTCACGACGCTCCGTAAGACCTCCAGTAGGACCAGTGTAGGGAGAGGGAGCAGACAGTGGGGAGGCTGGCTGTAACTGGGACTCGGACTGGACAGGCGGCGGACACTCTAAGAGAGGAGCAGGACCAAGAGAGGACGGGGGTCCAAGAACCTGCTCAAGGAGCGGAACGAAGTACGGCCGCGGCCGTGCAGTGCCCCCAGAACCAGCAGGAACAGCACCAATACCCCCAACGGCAGCACCAGCGCCAGTAGCACCCCCAGCTCCAGCAGCGCCAACTCCAGCACCCTCAGAAGTACTAGCGCCAGCAGCACCTCCAGCGCCAATCGGACCACCAGAAGACGGAGCAGCTCCAGCTCCAGCACCTCCAGTAGCACCTACTCCAGCAGCACCACTAGCTCCAGCACCAGAAGCACCCGCAGGCCCAGCAGCTCCAGAACCCCCGGTACGAGCACCTCCGGGACCCGTGGCACCAGCACCCTCAGCAGCAGTAGAACCGTCAACACCAGCAGTACCTCCAGCTCCAGCAGCACGGCTCCAGCGCCGAGCAAACCACTCGCGCAACTCCTGTGGAGAGAGCAGCTCCCTCCGGGACGAAGCACCCGAAGGACCTCCAGGCCCAGTACCGCCAGAGGCCACACGAGCAGGCCCAGCACCCTCAGGCTCCGCACCCCCAGGCTCCGGACCCCCAGTCTCAGCACTCCCAGGCTCAGCACCCCCAGAGTCAGCACCCCCAAGCTCAGCACCCCCAGACCCCGCACCCGTAGGCTCAGCACCCCCAGACCCCGCACCCGCAGGCTCAGCACCCCTAGCAGCACCAGAGTCAACAGCGACCTCGACAGGCTCGACTGCATCTACCTGGGACACACCTGAGGGGGCAGGACCCTGAGGGGGAAGGGGGTCTACCGGGGGGGGACCTGGCGCGAGGAAGAGCGGCGGCGGGGGGAGGGACGCAGTGCGGTAGGGGAAGAGACGGTAGTACGGAACCGACTCGTCAAACGTGACGTCCTGGGAGGACAGAACACGTCGCGAGGTGGGGTGGTAGAACTGCCAACCTGGCGCGTCAGGGGAGAAGCCAAGGAAGACACAGGGAACAGCACGGGGGGACAGCTTGTCCGCAGACAAGTCGCGGACAAACGCCCGAGATCCCCAGACACGGAACGCAGACGCATCGCCAACCTTCCCGGTCCACCGCAAAGCAGGGGAGGTCTCCGGCATGGAGACCCGGGGCTGAAGGTTGATCTGATGCGCCGCGTACCGAACCGCAATCGGCCACAGAAAATGGGGGGCAGCCGCATGGACCATGGACGTACGAGCGACGTCCATGACCATGCCAATGCGGCGCTCAGCAATCCCATTTTACTGTGGAGAGGCCGGAAGCGTGAACGTCTGGCGGATGCCCTGTGCACGACAGAAGGCTCGCAGAAGGTCAGAGGAAAACTCACCGCCTCTGTCGGAGTGCAGACGCAGAACAGAAAAGTCCGAGCCGAAACTCTCTCTGAGCTGGAGACGAGCAGCGCGGATCCAGCCGATCAACACCTCAGTGACCTCACCCTTGCTGCGCAAGGGGAAGACTGTGGTGTAACGCGAGTAGTCGTCAACCACCAGCAGGAAGTAACGCTCGTGACCCTGTCCACGGACGCGGGCTGGGCCCCACACGTCCATGTGAAGCGTCTGCAGCGGAGCCTCTGTCGGAGGAAACTCGGAGGAGTGAGGAGCAGCACGCTGCCTCCCCTCGACGCAGGGAACGCAAGTAGGGGCAGGCCCCGGAGGAAGAGGAGGGAGGGACTGGGGGAGACCAGAGACAAGGACACGGGAGGCCATGCCTCGGAGACGAGGCAGCGAGGGGTGACCAAGGCGGTGGTGCCAGAGGAGAGTCTGGTGAGACATGAGACGACACGAGCAGGGGGCAGACGCAGGACCAGACCTGGACGCCGTAGCAGACACCTGACCCGACGCAGCTACCTGACCAGACGCAGAGACCGGAGGAGACTCAGTAGTCAGTGTGTACAGGCTCGACCCCGGTCGACGGGTAAACGTGGCCAAGTGTCGGCCCGTCCGAGCACACGTGCAGTGGGTCACTCGCTGACTCGCAGGAGTGAACTGGTCAACCCCCCCATCCTGTAGGTCAGCACCACTCACCAAGTTCGTAGAGAACGAGGGGAGGTAGAGACCTGGCAGGGTGCCAGAAGGGGCCGCCGGACACGGTAAGACAGTGGAGAAGTGGGCAAGGACAGGACCCCCAGAGGGGTCTGCCAGGGAGACCGCAACTGGCCGACTAAGCGGCGTGAGTGTGGTGCGGTCTCGAAAGAAGGAACGGGAAGCACCCGAGTCAAGGGTGAAGGTGTGGGAGGCCTGAGCCGACGTGGTACCTGAGAGAGCAGACTCACCAGCACCCGGGGCAGCAGACTCACTAGCACCTAGAGCAGCAGCCTCACCAGCACCTAGAGCAGCAGCCTCACCAGCACCTAGAGCAGCAGTCTCAATGCCCGGGTCAGGCGGAACACACAGGTAACAGTCACCCTCATCACTAGTAGGCAATGCATACATGGCAGTGAGGATAGCATCATAGTCAAGAGTATAGATATCTACCCTCAGCCTAAGCAGCTCCACCCAGTCGGGGAGCTCAGCCGCGTCGCCAAACTCCGTACGCCAGGCGTCGCTCAGACGGGCGAAGCAGCGGGACTCTGCGTGACCAAACGTCCCGCAAGGCTGACCAGTCCGAGCACCAGTGCGAATGACGTACGGACAGCGAGCAGTACCCCGTGACCCGTCACGCTGAGCGTACCACTCACGAAGCTGCTGGGGTGAAAGGACCGCGCACGGACGACGCTGCAGCTGCACCTGGCCACTACAAGCAGCTGCCGAACTACTCACTTCGGGACGACTCCCACTACGGCCACCCCGACAACCCCAAGTAGCGTACCACTCACGAAGCTGCTGGGGCGTGAGGGACTCACGCAGACGTCGCTGGAGCTGCATCTGGCCACCGCCAGGAGCAGCAGGAGCAGTGGTAGCCGCAGCAGTAGCAGCAGTAGCAATAGCAGTAGTCGCAGCGCGGCCACCCCTACAACCCCAACTAGCGTACCACTCACGAAGCTGTTGGGGGGCGAGGGACTCACGCGGACGGCGCTGGAGCTGCATCTGGCCACGCCAGGAGTAGCAGTAGCAGTAGAAAGAGCAGTAGCAGCAAGAGCAGCAGTAACAGCAGTACGGGCAGGGCAGTGCTCACCAGTGGCGAGAAGGGCAGGCGTACGACGGCGGCAATGGCGAGGCCGCGACCACTGTAGGGCGAGGGCTCCGCGGCAGCTGCAGGGGCGGCTGCTGCAGGGGCGGCTGCTGCAGGGGCTGTTGCTCCAGGGGCGGCTGCTCCAGGGGCGGCTGCTGCAGTGGCGGCTGCTCCAGGGGCGGCTGCTGCAGGGGCGGCTGCTCCAGGGGCGGCTGCTCCAGGGGCGGCTGCTGCAGGGGCGGCTGCTCCAGGGGCGGCTGCTGCAGGGGTGGCTGCTTCAGGGGCGGCTGCTGCAGTGGAGGCCGCTCCAGGGGCGGCTGCTTCAGGGGCGGCTGCTCCAGGGGCGGCTGCTGCAGGGGCGGCTGCTCCAGGGGCGGCTGCTGCAGGGGTGGCTGCTCCAGGGGCGGCTGCTGCAGGGGCGGCTGCTCCAGGGGCGGCTGCTGCAGGGGTGGCTGCTCCAGGGGCGGCTGTTGCAGTGGCGGCTGCTCCAGGGGCGGCTGCTGCAGGGGCGGCTGCTCCAGGGGCGGCTGCTGCAGTGGCGGGTGCTCCAGGGCGCGGGTTAGGGCAGGGGGCCGCGGCGGGCAGGGGTGACGCCACGCGGGTCCCGCAGGGGCGTCGCGACGAGGCGGGGGCGACGCGCGGGTCCCGTTGAGGCGTTGCGACGAGGCAGCGGGAACGGGGCGGGGCCGCGACTGGCGACGGGGCGGGGCCGCGACTGGCGACGGGGCGGGGCCGCGACTGGCGAAGGGGCGGGGCCGTGACTGGCGACAGGGCGGGGCCGCTACGGGCAGCGGGGCGGGGCCGCGAAGGGGCCGCGAAGGGGCCGCGAAGGGGCCGCGAAGGTGTAACCCGACATCTGTTATTTTTTCCATGCGTTGCCTGTTTATCTAACTTATCGTTTTTCCCGTGTTGTGTCAGGGAAGCTTTGGCGGCAAAGGATGCCGCCGAGGCCTACCCCGACCTTGACCTCGTCGACAGAGTCGTCCGCTCCTTGGCGGAGCAGCTTGGACGGTCGGGCAACTTCCACCTACGCTTCAAAGAGCTTCAGGAGGTGCTCTGCCAAACAAACATGGAGCTGCAGGGCATCCACAGCGTCAGGTGGCTTTCACGTGGTCTGGCGGTTCAGCGTCTGGCGGACAACCTTCCAGCATCTGTCATTCTACTGTACGAGAACGACCCGAAGGCCTACCTCCTTGTAACCAGCTTGAAATTCCACTTCCTGCTGTTTTTCTTGGCTGATGTCTTGAAAGAACTCGACGCACTCAACCTCAAGTTCCAGCGACGGCAGTTACGTTGTTACGCTCGTTGCTTTGACGGGTTTTTTCTTGTGTTGTTGAACCGAATTTCTGTGACACTGACCCGTGCAAGCCTTTCCACGGCCTCTCATGTGTGTGGCAGGTCGACGTGACACACGTGCTGCAGATGGTGGACAACACCAGGCTCACCCTCCGCAACCGTTACCTGAGTGACGCGGACGATTTCGGAGAGGGGAGCAACGAGCTGAGCGCCTTTTTGGCGAAGCATGCGTCGTCGGAGAAGAGGGTGGTGAAGGTGACGGGCACCGACTCGACTGGGGCGCCAACCACTCATGAGTACACCCTCCATGAGCAGAAGATTAAAGGTCAGAAATCTGGCGGGGGCTTGGACGACTGCATCACACTGGCGAAGGGGTACGTGAAGGAGCTGCTGAAGCGTTTGGAGAGCCGGATGAAGGATTTGGGCTCTCTCGAGGGCGCCAAGCTGTTCACGCAGGGGGCGTACCCGAAATCTCACTCGAAGCGGCAGCGGCGGTTCTTGCAGTGGCTGGAGGCTCTCCGCAATCTGTTTAAGCGAAAACCGACCGACCCTGACACCCTGCCAGGTACGTCTTCGATGTCGGTTGTGCCTGATTGAGTCGGACATGTTGTTTGTGTCACCATATGCCTCGTTGATTTCTTTGAGCCTGATGACTTATGAACACCAGCGCGGTCTAACATTACACTTCTTTCTGATTCGCACCCTGCCACTAGGAGTCAACTGGACGAGGGCACAGAAGGAGCTCAGCGGTTTCACCACCATCATGTCATCCCATCAGCAGGAGCTGAGCTTCCAGGACGGCCTGAAGCAGATGCTCAGCTCCCCCGACTGGTGCACTGCCTACCCCAACCTGGTCCGCCTTTGGATGGCAGTCGCAGTGCTGCCCCTGAGCACCGTGGAGTGCGAGCGGGGCTTCTCCCGCCAGAACATCATCAAGAGCTGGCTACGCGGCAATCTTAACGACGCGAAGCTGGGCGACCTGATGACCGTCTCCATGCTGAAGTACGAACCTGACTGGCCCGCCCTTGTGGAGCTGTGGAGAGGCGCGGAGAGGAGGCGTCCAGCCAAGGATGTGGTGATGGTGCATGCGCAGAGGCCCGTGAAGCGCACGAAGAAGACCCTTGCGATGCTGGCCGCGAAGCAGGCGGCAGCAACAGCAGCAGCAGATGCTGTTGCTCGTGAAGCAGCAGCTGCAGAAGAAGCAGCCAGGCTAGAGGAGGAGTTGGGCCCCTGGCAGAGACGGGCAGGCCACGGCAAAGTGCACATGGCTTCAGATTCAGAGCTAGACGGGGACGATGAGGAAGATTATTCTCATGATAGCGATAGTGAATCCTAGTTCGTTTTCTTTGTATGGTTATCTGTAGTAATAGAGTATAGTCGGTATGTAGAGTAGACTACATAGTTAAATAAATGTCTGATTTCGTAAAAATCTGTCTGAGCGGACATACTAACTTAGAAAATCCGTCTGAGGCAAAGACCACCAGGAATCCTCCATATGAGGGCCAGACGAATTTTTTTTTTTTTGGAAAATGTCAGACGGGCCTAAAAGTTAGCAAGAGCCCTGAAGAGCGCCTATCTTTCTCAGTTGTACATCAGGGCCCTAGATACGGTATCAGACTTTGTAGTCTGATTCAGAGTCCGTTCAGACTTTTTTTTTGTACCTAGTCTGAAGTCTAAGAATATCTTTATGTACCTTGTCTGATTTTTCATAGTTTTTTTTTTTTTTTTTTTTTTAATTGAAAGTATACATCACAAACATAAATGCATACTACTCAATAGCGGTCGTAACCGTGCGTGAGTGAGCAGAGGCTGTCTGCTCAGCAACGGACCTAGGGTGGGTTGTAAACTGTCCTTGGATTGGTCCAGATGGACTCGAAACCTCTGGTCCACACCCACTTCTTATCGCTTGCCAGCCGTATCCTGCCCAGCATCCGTTGTTCCTCCAATAGCCCTTTGAGAAAGTTGCCAGCCTGTGCCGAGTCCTTCCGCTTCTGCCACGCTGTCGAGCGTGCTTTCGTGTAAACCCTCGCATGCTGGCGGAAAGCCAACAGGACTCTTCTCAGGACTCGGCGCGCACGGAATTTGCGCTCCCGGAAAACTGCCTCGCATCTTTCCAACCAGATTTGATGTAGTGTTATCGCGATGAGCGTTGCCTCGGGGAAAGCTGTGCAGGTCCCCGCCTTGTGAAAGAGGAGATCTTCCAGCGAATTCGTGGTGCGGAGAGGGTTCAACATGCGGAGGGCCCACTTCAACGCAATGATCACACTCTGGATCTTTGGGCAGGCGAAGAGGCAATGCTCCAATGTCTCCACGCTTTTACAGTGCGGACACACGGGCTTGTCGCTTAGAAAGGCCAGCCTTTCACCCACTTGAAGGTTGAAGTTGTACACCCTCGTGAGAACATCTCTTGGTCTGCTTGGGGTGACGAGTGATTCCCTGATGCCCAATTTTTTTTTTTCCAGTTGATCGGTCCGCTCCACCTGCCTGCCCATCGCAGCATACGATGAGAGTTTTGCTTTATGAGTTGTCTGAAATTTCAGCCTAATTTTATTAGTGTAGGCTGAGCCTCATACTTGTATCGGGGGTGCCCCCTGAAACCCGTAATACAGCGGTTTCCGCCAGCCTGGTGGCGTGTAGCACTCACCGTCAATCACGGGCGGGAAACCAAAATTTCCCGAGCGCGGCACCGCAAACTCCCGAGCAGGGTCCTCGCTAGGTTTTGAACCCCCCTGATGCGTCAGATGGGCCATCGGGCACACGCTTGCCTTGTCACACCACTTTTGCCCTCTATCACACCGAAGAGTCAACCTGTCAGGGCAAAAATCCGCCCTGTCAAGGAAGAGATTCGCCCTGCCTAGGGTGAAAGTGCGAAGGTTCGCCTTGTACAGAGCGAAGAGATTCGCCCTGTACAGAGCGAAGTGCGAAAATTCGCCCTGTCAGGGTGAAGATTCTAACTGTCAGGGCAAAGATTCGCCCTGCCTAGGCAGAGATTTGCCTTGTCAGGGTAGAGATTCGCCTTGTCAGAGTAGAGATTCGCCTTGTCAGCAGCTGTAAATCTCGTTATTCTATGTTTCAGTTTAAGACAAAACAGAAATTGTGTTTAACTCTGAACGTTCAGCGTAAAAAACGTAGTGTTGTCTGAATTTTCAGACTAGAAAAAATAGGTAACTCTGACAGCCAGACTAGGAAGAGGGGTGTACTCTGAGGTCGTCAGACTACCTCACAACGAATCTAGGGCTGTTGTACATGATAGCAATATTTCAAGTATCCCAGAAAAAATAAGAACAATAATGTACAGATGAACCTATCCAGGTGCTGTCCTAGAAATTCGAGGTTTGGCACATATTGTAAGATGCATTCTTTAGATCGAGGTTTGGTAGTCAAAATCCCCATCACTCGTCACCCACTCGTCGCCATACTGTCGGCCATGGAAGACTTTCTCACGCCGCATCCCTCTCAAGCGCTCGCCTGGTCATCCGCCGTCTCGGCCGGCATCCATTGCGCCAACTCCGCAGTTTCCCGGCAAAACCGCCCTCCTTTCAACACTCTTTGCGGGAGACTACGACCAACTCCGTCGTGTGCGCAGGGTAGTGAAATATCGGCGCGCAGGTGAGACGCCGGCGTGGGTTGCGCTAGCGGGAAGTACCCGGTGCACCAGCGTCCATACTTTCTCCCAACTCCCTCGACCCCCCTGCCCCACTCCCATTCACGCTCTCAGCTCCCCGTACTGCTAGGGTGTGACGCGATTCTTGCAAACTAAGGCACCGCCACGTGGTTCTATTCGGGGATGCCGGGATGTGTGGCTGTGGGGTTGCGGGGTGCTCTTTGCTGTGCTGCTCCGCGCGCATCCTCTGTTGAGCCCACCTTGAACCAATCTGCACCAAGTTACATTGCCACAGCTCTTGTTGCTCGCTCAGCTGCCACCCCTCACAAATGCTGCTCGTGCCTCCCACGCCTCTGTGCACGCATGCATGTTCATATGTGTGCACGTGAATGTATATGTGTGCGTGCGTGCGTGCATTCTGTTCGTGTAGGAGGGTGGTGGTGAGGCAGGCGTCGGAGAGACTGCGGCCACACATGGAGAGACGCACGAGCTGCCGGGGGGAGAGGGGGGGGAGGGGGGGGAGAGGGGAGGGAGGGGAGGGAGAAGGGGGATGAGAAGTTAAGCGGGATCTGTTTTTGCGTTCTCTTGAGAAACACACACGGAGGGACGGATGAGGGGGGGTTTGTGGGGAGGAGCTAGGGGATGGGGGAAGGGAGCGTGGCGAGAATGAAGGGTAGAGGGAGGAGGATGGGAGTGAAAAAAAACGGAATGAGGGAAGGAAGGTTGCAGAAGAAAAACGGTTCAACGGGGAGAGGAGGACGGCATACAGTGATGGTGGTGCCAGCACGGTCGCGAGAGACAACAGGTGCCTTTGCAAAAGGGTGGGAGAGGAGGGAGTGGCAGGGTGGAAAGGGGCCACTTATTGAAACGTAAACGCGCCAATTGATTGTCCAGACAGTCAAACGCAAGACCCTGATTCACCCACGGCTGAAGGGACTCGACCCTCAGTAAACAGGCGGCTTTGACTTGCGATGCTAAAATGATTCAGTACAAATAAACGTCCTATTAACTACACTAGTCTATAGGTACAGTGTGTGTACGAGTGCAGTACAATCGTGGACAGATACCACAGCCTCTAGGAGCACCCACCCGTCACATGAGCCTCAGACAGGCACACTCGACAGCCATGCAGATCAACGAGTTCTAAACACCGCATCTCACCTCGACGAGCACAAGCTGACTTTCCTGCTCAATTCACCTCCCTTCTCCTCACCTCGCCTCACCCCACTTTCCCCACCCAACACGAGGTACATGATACACCCAGGCGCAGAGCGCCGTGAGAGCGCTCACCTCCAGCTTGGCAGCATCGCAGGTCAAGAGCGCGCGGTGCAGGTCCCCCTCGCCACAGCCAGCTCCGCCGCCACGCCGCCGCCCACCAGCAGCAGCAGCGCAGGGGCATCAGCCGCCTCTGCCGGCCTCTGCGCGGAAGGGGAGGGGGCGGAAGCGCCGGCGAAGGGATCGCGCCGCGCCCGTGCGGCGAGCGGAGGAGAGGCGGGAGGAATCCGCATGGGCGAAATGGGCGGCCCTCGCCGTCATCGAGATGGAATCGACGGCGTGCCACGCACCCCATCCCACGCTGGCACCGCCTCCGTCAACGAGTCTCGCGGAGCGCTAGCACGTCCAGAATCCGTCCCAGCTGTAGCGCTATCGCCAGCCGTACGATGATCGGCAATAGTGGCATCCGCAGAATCATCAGCTGTACGATCTACAAGCACTCTAGGGAAGCCTCCCTCGGCACGTTCATCAGGCCGTTCACATCCTCAGTCGTGCTCATCGCCGTGCGAAGGGTAAGACTGTGGTGCATCGCGGTAGTCGTCGGCACCAGAAAGGAATAACGCTCGTGACCCCGTCCACGGACGCGGGCTGGGCCCCGCACGTCCATGCGAAGCGTCTGCAGCGGAGCCTCTGTCGGAGGAAACTCGGAGGAGTGAGGAGCAGCACGCTGCCTCCCCTCGACGCAGGGAACGCAAGTAGGGGCAGGCCCCGGAGGAAGAGGAGGGAGGGACTGGGGGAGACCAGAGACAAGGACACGGGAGGCCATGCCTCGGAGACGAGGCAGCGAGGGGTGACCAAGGCGGTGGTGCCAGAGGAGAGTCTGGTGAGACATGAGACGACACGAGCAGGGGGCAGACGCAGGACCAGACCTGGACGCCGTAGCAGACACCTGACCCGACGCAGCTACCTGACCAGACGCAGAGACCGGAGGAGACTCAGTAGTCAGTGTGTACAGGCTCGACCCCGGTCGACGGGTAAACGTGGCCAAGTGTCGGCCCGTCCGAGCACACGTGCAGTGGGTCACTCGCTGACTCGCAGGAGTGAACTGGTCAACCCCCCCATCCTGTAGGTCAGCACCACTCACCAAGTTCGTAGAGAACGAGGGGAGGTAGAGACCTGGCAGGGTGCCAGAAGGGGCCGCCGGACACGGTAAGACAGTGGAGAAGTGGGCAAGGACAGGACCCCCAGAGGGGTCTGCCAGGGAGACCGCAACTGGCCGACTAAGCGGCGTGAGTGTGGTGCGGTCTCGAAAGAAGGAACGGGAAGCACCCGAGTCAAGGGTGAAGGTGTGGGAGGCCTGAGCCGACGTGGTACCTGAGAGAGCAGACTCACCAGCACCCGGGGCAGCAGACTCACTAGCACCTAGAGCAGCAGCCTCACCAGCACCTAGAGCAGCAGCCTCACCAGCACCTAGAGCAGCAGTCTCAATGCCCGGGTCAGGCGGAACACACAGGTAACAGTCACCCTCATCACTAGTAGGCAATGCATACATGGCAGTGAGGATAGCATCATAGTCAAGAGTATAGATATCTACCCTCAGCCTAAGCAGCTCCACCCAGTCGGGGAGCTCAGCCGCGTCGCCAAACTCCGTACGCCAGGCGTCGCTCAGACGGGCGAAGCAGCGGGACTCTGCGTGACCAAACGTCCCGCAAGGCTGACCAGTCCGAGCACCAGTGCGAATGACGTACGGACAGCGAGCAGTACCCCGTGACCCGTCACGCTGAGCGTACCACTCACGAAGCTGCTGGGGTGAAAGGACCGCGCACGGACGACGCTGCAGCTGCACCTGGCCACTACAAGCAGCTGCCGAACTACTCACTTCGGGACGACTCCCACTACGGCCACCCCGACAACCCCAAGTAGCGTACCACTCACGAAGCTGCTGGGGCGTGAGGGACTCACGCAGACGTCGCTGGAGCTGCATCTGGCCACCGCCAGGAGCAGCAGGAGCAGTGGTAGCCGCAGCAGTAGCAGCAGTAGCAATAGCAGTAGTCGCAGCGCGGCCACCCCTACAACCCCAACTAGCGTACCACTCACGAAGCTGTTGGGGGGCGAGGGACTCACGCGGACGGCGCTGGAGCTGCATCTGGCCACGCCAGGAGTAGCAGTAGCAGTAGAAAGAGCAGTAGCAGCAAGAGCAGCAGTAACAGCAGTACGGGCAGGGCAGTGCTCACCAGTGGCGAGAAGGGCAGGCGTACGACGGCGGCAATGGCGAGGCCGCGACCACTGTAGGGCGAGGGCTCCGCGGCAGCTGCAGGGGCGGCTGCTGCAGGGGCGGCTGCTGCAGGGGCTGTTGCTCCAGGGGCGGCTGCTCCAGGGGCGGCTGCTGCAGTGGCGGCTGCTCCAGGGGCGGCTGCTGCAGGGGCGGCTGCTCCAGGGGCGGCTGCTCCAGGGGCGGCTGCTGCAGGGGCGGCTGCTCCAGGGGCGGCTGCTGCAGGGGTGGCTGCTTCAGGGGCGGCTGCTGCAGTGGAGGCCGCTCCAGGGGCGGCTGCTTCAGGGGCGGCTGCTCCAGGGGCGGCTGCTGCAGGGGCGGCTGCTCCAGGGGCGGCTGCTGCAGGGGTGGCTGCTCCAGGGGCGGCTGCTGCAGGGGCGGCTGCTCCAGGGGCGGCTGCTGCAGGGGTGGCTGCTCCAGGGGCGGCTGTTGCAGTGGCGGCTGCTCCAGGGGCGGCTGCTGCAGGGGCGGCTGCTCCAGGGGCGGCTGCTGCAGTGGCGGGTGCTCCAGGGCGCGGGTTAGGGCAGGGGGCCGCGGCGGGCAGGGGTGACGCCACGCGGGTCCCGCAGGGGCGTCGCGACACGCAGGAGCCGCGCCTCGCGGGTCCCGCAGGGGCGTCGCGACGAGGCGGGGGCGACGCGCGGGTCCCGTTGAGGCGTTGCGACGAGGCAGCGGGAACGGGGCGGGGCCGCGACTGGCGACGGGGCGGGGCCGCGACTGGCGACGGGGCGGGGCCGCGACTGGCGAAGGGGCGGGGCCGTGACTGGCGACAGGGCGGGGCCGCTACGGGCAGCGGGGCGGGGCCGCGAAGGGGCCGCGAAGGGGCCGCGAAGGGGCCGCGAAGGGGCCGCGAAGGTGTAACCCGACATCTGTTATTTTTTCCATGCGTTGCCTGTTTATCTAACTTATCGTTTTTCCCGTGTTGTGTCAGGGAAGCTTTGGCGGCAAAGGATGCCGCCGAGGCCTACCCCGACCTTGACCTCGTCGACAGAGTCGTCCGCTCCTTGGCGGAGCAGCTTGGACGGTCGGGCAACTTCCACCTACGCTTCAAAGAGCTTCAGGAGGTGCTCTGCCAAACAAACATGGAGCTGCAGGGCATCCACAGCGTCAGGTGGCTTTCACGTGGTCTGGCGGTTCAGCGTCTGGCGGACAACCTTCCAGCATCTGTCATTCTACTGTACGAGAACGACCCGAAGGCCTACCTCCTTGTAACCAGCTTGAAATTCCACTTCCTGCTGTTTTTCTTGGCTGATGTCTTGAAAGAACTCGACGCACTCAACCTCAAGTTCCAGCGACGGCAGTTACGTTGTTACGCTCGTTGCTTTGACGGGTTTTTTCTTGTGTTGTTGAACCGAATTTCTGTGACACTGACCCGTGCAAGCCTTTCCACGGCCTCTCATGTGTGTGGCAGGTCGACGTGACACACGTGCTGCAGATGGTGGACAACACCAGGCTCACCCTCCGCAACCGTTACCTGAGTGACGCGGACGATTTCGGAGAGGGGAGCAACGAGCTGAGCGCCTTTTTGGCGAAGCATGCGTCGTCGGAGAAGAGGGTGGTGAAGGTGACGGGCACCGACTCGACTGGGGCGCCAACCACTCATGAGTACACCCTCCATGAGCAGAAGATTAAAGGTCAGAAATCTGGCGGGGGCTTGGACGACTGCATCACACTGGCGAAGGGGTACGTGAAGGAGCTGCTGAAGCGTTTGGAGAGCCGGATGAAGGATTTGGGCTCTCTCGAGGGCGCCAAGCTGTTCACGCAGGGGGCGTACCCGAAATCTCACTCGAAGCGGCAGCGGCGGTTCTTGCAGTGGCTGGAGGCTCTCCGCAATCTGTTTAAGCGAAAACCGACCGACCCTGACACCCTGCCAGGTACGTCTTCGATGTCGGTTGTGCCTGATTGAGTCGGACATGTTGTTTGTGTCACCATATGCCTCGTTGATTTCTTTGAGCCTGATGACTTATGAACACCAGCGCGGTCTAACATTACACTTCTTTCTGATTCGCACCCTGCCACTAGGAGTCAACTGGACGAGGGCACAGAAGGAGCTCAGCGGTTTCACCACCATCATGTCATCCCATCAGCAGGAGCTGAGCTTCCAGGACGGCCTGAAGCAGATGCTCAGCTCCCCCGACTGGTGCACTGCCTACCCCAACCTGGTCCGCCTTTGGATGGCAGTCGCAGTGCTGCCCCTGAGCACCGTGGAGTGCGAGCGGGGCTTCTCCCGCCAGAACATCATCAAGAGCTGGCTACGCGGCAATCTTAACGACGCGAAGCTGGGCGACCTGATGACCGTCTCCATGCTGAAGTACGAACCTGACTGGCCCGCCCTTGTGGAGCTGTGGAGAGGCGCGGAGAGGAGGCGTCCAGCCAAGGATGTGGTGATGGTGCATGCGCAGAGGCCCGTGAAGCGCACGAAGAAGACCCTTGCGATGCTGGCCGCGAAGCAGGCGGCAGCAACAGCAGCAGCAGATGCTGTTGCTCGTGAAGCAGCAGCTGCAGAAGAAGCAGCCAGGCTAGAGGAGGAGTTGGGCCCCTGGCAGAGACGGGCAGGCCACGGCAAAGTGCACATGGCTTCAGATTCAGAGCTAGACGGGGACGATGAGGAAGATTATTCTCATGATAGCGATAGTGAATCCTAGTTCGTTTTCTTTGTATGGTTATCTGTAGTAATAGAGTATAGTCGGTATGTAGAGTAGACTACATAGTTAAATAAATGTCTGATTTCGTAAAAATCTGTCTGAGCGGACATACTAACTTAGAAAATCCGTCTGAGGCAAAGACCACCAGGAATCCTCCATATGAGGGCCAGACGAATTTTTTTTTTTTTGGAAAATGTCAGACGGGCCTAAAAGTTAGCAAGAGCCCTGAAGAGCGCCTATCTTTCTCAGTTGTACATCAGGGCCCTAGATACGGTATCAGACTTTGTAGTCTGATTCAGAGTCCGTTCAGACTTTTTTTTTGTACCTAGTCTGAAGTCTAAGAATATCTTTATGTACCTTGTCTGATTTTTCATAGTTTTTTTTTTTTTTTTTTTTTAATTGAAAGTATACATCACAAACATAAATGCATACTACTCAATAGCGGTCGTAACCGTGCGTGAGTGAGCAGAGGCTGTCTGCTCAGCAACGGACCTAGGGTGGGTTGTAAACTGTCCTTGGATTGGTCCAGATGGACTCGAAACCTCTGGTCCACACCCACTTCTTATCGCTTGCCAGCCGTATCCTGCCCAGCATCCGTTGTTCCTCCAATAGCCCTTTGAGAAAGTTGCCAGCCTGTGCCGAGTCCTTCCGCTTCTGCCACGCTGTCGAGCGTGCTTTCGTGTAAACCCTCGCATGCTGGCGGAAAGCCAACAGGACTCTTCTCAGGACTCGGCGCGCACGGAATTTGCGCTCCCGGAAAACTGCCTCGCATCTTTCCAACCAGATTTGATGTAGTGTTATCGCGATGAGCGTTGCCTCGGGGAAAGCTGTGCAGGTCCCCGCCTTGTGAAAGAGGAGATCTTCCAGCGAATTCGTGGTGCGGAGAGGGTTCAACATGCGGAGGGCCCACTTCAACGCAATGATCACACTCTGGATCTTTGGGCAGGCGAAGAGGCAATGCTCCAATGTCTCCACGCTTTTACAGTGCGGACACACGGGCTTGTCGCTTAGAAAGGCCAGCCTTTCACCCACTTGAAGGTTGAAGTTGTACACCCTCGTGAGAACATCTCTTGGTCTGCTTGGGGTGACGAGTGATTCCCTGATGCCCAATTTTTTGGGGCCCAGTTGATCGGTCCGCTCCACCTGCCTGCCCATCGCAGCATACGATGAGAGTTTTGCTTTATGAGTTGTCTGAAATTTCAGCCTAATTTTATTAGTGTAGGCTGAGCCTCATACTTGTATCGGGGGTGCCCCCTGAAACCCGTAATACAGCGGTTTCCGCCAGCCTGGTGGCGTGTAGCACTCACCGTCAATCACGGGCGGGAAACCAAAATTTCCCGAGCGCGGCACCGCAAACTCCCGAGCAGGGTCCTCGCTAGGTTTTGAACCCCCCTGATGCGTCAGATGGGCCCATCGGGCACACGCTTGCCTTGTCACACCACTTTTGCCCTCTATCACACCGAAGAGTCAAACCTGTCAGGGCAAAAATCCGCCCTGTCAAGGAAGAGATTCGCCCTGCCTAGGGTGAAGTGCGAAGGTTCGCCTTGTACAGAGCGAAGAGATTCGCCCTGTACAGAGCGAAGTGCGAAAATTCGCCCTGTCAGGGTGAAGATTCTAACTGTCAGGGCAAAGATTCGCCCTGCCTAGGCAGAGATTTGCCTTGTCAGGGTAGAGATTCGCCTTGTCAGAGTAGAGATTCGCCTTGTCAGAGCTGTAAATCTCGTTATTCTATGTTTCAGTTTAAGACAAAACAGAAATTGTGTTTAACTCTGAACGTTCAGCGTAAAAAACGTAGTGTTGTCTGAATTTTCAGACTAGAAAAAATAGGTAACTCTGACAGCCAGACTAGGAAGAGGGGTGTACTCTGAGGCGTCAGACTACCTCACAACGAATCTAGGGGCCTGTTGTACATGATAGCAAATATTTCAAGTATCCCAGAAAAAATAAGAACAATAATGTACAGATGAAACCTATCCAGGTGCTGTCCTAGAAATCGAGGTTTGGCACATATTGTAAGATGCATTCTTTAGATCGAGGTTTGGTAGTCAAAATCCCATCACTCGTCACCACTCGTCGCCATACTGTCGCCATGGAAGACTTTCTCACGCCGCATCCCTCTCAAGCGCTCGCCTGGTCATCCGCCGTCTCGGCCGGCATCCATTGCGCCAACTCCGCAGTTCCCGGCAAAACCGCCCTCCTTTCAACACTCTTTGCGGGAGACTACGACCAACTCGTCGTGTGCGCAGGGTAGTGAAATATCGGCGCGCAGGTGAGACGCCGGCGTGGGTTGCGCTAGCGGGAAGTACCGGTGCACCAGCGTCCATACTTTCTCCCAACTCCCTCGACCCCCCTGCCCCACTCCCATTCACGCTCTCAGCTCCCCGTACTGCTAGGTTGTGACGCGATTCTTGCAAACTAAGGCACCGCCACGTGGTTCTATTCGGGGATGCAGGGATGTGTGGCTGTGGGGTTGCGGGGTGCTCTTTGCTGTGCTGCTCCGCGCGCATCCTCTGTTGAGCCCACCTTGAACCAATCGTGCACCAAGTTACATTGCCACAGCTCTTGTTGCTCGCTCACGCCACCCCTCACAATGCTGCTCGTGCCTCCCACGCCTCTGTGCACGCATGCATGTTCATATGTGTGCACGTGAATGTATATGTGTGCGTGCGTGCGTGCATTCTGTTCGTGTAGGAGGGTGGTGGTGAGGCAGGCGTCGGAGAGACTGCGGCCACACATGGAGAGACGCACGAGCTGCCGGGGGGAGAGGGGGGGAGGGGGGGAGAGGGGAGGGAGGGGAGGGAGAAGGGGGATGAGAAGTTAAGCGGAGTCTGTTTTTGCGTTCTCTTGAGAAACACACACGGAGGGACGGATGAGGGGGGTTGGTGGGGAGGAGCTAGGGGATGGGGGAAGGGAGCGTGGCGAGAATGAAGGGTAGAGGGGAGGAGGATGGGAGTGAAAAAAACGGAATGAGGGAAGGAAGGTTGCAGAAGAAAACGGGTTCAACGGGGAGAGGAGGACGGCATACAGTGATGGTGGTGCCAGCACGGTCGCGAGAGACAACAGGTGCCTTGCAAAAGGGTGGGAGAGGAGGGAGTGGCAGGGTGGAAAGGGGCCACTTATTGAAACGTAAACGCGCCAATTGATTGTCCAGACAGTCAAACGCAAGACCCTGATTCACCCACGGCTGAAGGGACTCGACCCTCAGTAAACAGGCGGCTTTGACTTGCGATGCTAAAATGATTCAGTACAAATAAACGTCCTATTAACTACACTAGTCTATAGGTACAGTGTGTGTACGAGTGCAGTACAATCGTGGACAGATACCACAGCCTCTAGGAGCACCCACCCGTCACATGAGCCTCAGACAGGCACACTCGACAGCCATGCAGATCAACGAGTTCTAAACACCGCATCTCACCTCGACGAGCACAAGCTGACTTTCCTGCTCAATTCACCTCCCTTCTCCTCACCTCGCCTCACCCCACTTTCCCCACCCAACACGAGGTACATGATACACCCAGGCGCAGAGCGCCGTGAGAGCGCTCACCTCCAGCTTGGCAGCATCGCAGGTCAAGAGCGCGCGGTGCAGGTCCCCCTCGCCACAGCCAGCTCCGCCGCCACGCCGCCCACCAGCAGCAGCAGCGCGGGGTCATCCAGCCGCCTCTGCCGCCTCTGCGCGGAAGCGGAGGGGGCGGAAGCGCCGGCGACGGGAGAGGTTTCGCCCGCGCCCGTGCGGCGAGCGGAGGAGAGGCGGGAGGAATCATCGAAGTGGGCGAAATGGGCGGCCCTCTGCCGTGTGATCGAGAGGAATCGACGGCGTGCCACGTCACCCGCATCCCACGCTGGCACCGCCTCCGTCAACGAGTCTCGCGTCAGCGCTAGCATGTCCAGAATCCGTCCCAGCTGTAGCGCTATCGCCAGCCGTACGATGATCGGCAATAGTGGCATCCGCAGAATCATCAGCTGTACGATCTACAAGCACTCTAGGGAAGCCTCCCTCGGCACGTTCATCAGGCCGTTCATGGCCATCCGTTCAGTCGTGCTCATCGCCGTTCAAAGCGGTAAGAACCGGTGCATCCCTGGGAGTGCGCTCGGCGTCATCTGTGTCGTCCTCTGCGTCTTGAAAGGAAGCTATGGGTGGCGTCGCACGGCTCCCAGCGACTCCTCACGGCATGGATCTCGTTCGCACACCTCGCGAACCGTCGCTGAGCGACTGCTCCGAGGGTTCTCGCCGCACCATTTTGACAAGCTAGTGAAGTATCGTCAAACGTTCTGCGTGGTTTGTAGTCGGGAAGGTTCGGGTTTTTGTCAACCATATGTGGTCGTCAAAATCTTTCGCGAACGTCGACCAAATGGGCAACAGAAAGTCAATAACTAGACGGTCCTAAAAATTGTTTGCAAATTTGACAGGCTGGTTGGCCGATTTGCTGCCCGGTTTGTGATTGTGTTTTGTAATTCGGGTGCTGGGCTTTCACTTATAAGTGCATAGGAACTTCAATTGTAAAAGCAGAACACCCATGCAGCCTCAAACGGGTACCTAAGTAGACAACTTGGAGCACTTCGTGAGAACAATGGATGGACCAACCTCCTCAAACTCGCTCTTCGTAATACACATCTGCATCACCAAGGGTCTATCAGTGCAAAAAAAGAATCAAGGAAGCCATAGAGCAATAGAAAATGCAGAAAACGCATACCTGCTGGAAGGTGCTCAGAGACGCATACATGGATCCACCAATCCACGCACTGTACTTCCGCTCAGGTGGAGCAACCACCTTAGTGCACATGGTGGGTGCCAGCTGAGTCACTTCCTTGGTCATGCGAGCAGCGATTCCAGGGATCAAAGTGGTGCCGCCGCTGAGAACAATGTTGCTGCACAGGTCCCGCCTGATACCTTCGTCACACTTCATGATGCTGTTGTAGCACAGCTCATGAATACCACCCGAGCCTTCCTTTCCAGCCAGCGACGGGTTGAAGAGCGCTTCTGGGCACCTAAACCGCTC